GCTCTGGAGCCATTCTTCGTGAGCTAAGACAAAAATGTGTGAGCCGGAGGCTAAAAAAAACCGTGAGCTAGCTCACACTAACTCAGCTTAGAGGGAACACTGTTGACAACCCTTTGAGGCACCAGTTTTGGGAAGCTGCATCAGGATGGGTAGCCGTGTGAGTCTGTCTGTAGGAGTAGAAAAGAGTAAGAGTCCAGTAGCACCTTAAAGACTGACAACAGCAGGACAGAGATTGAGTCCAGTGGCACCTGTAAGACTAACGAAGTTTTATTCACGGTATAAGCGTTCTTGGGCACGCACACTTCTTCAGATACAGTGAAACGGAATTTCCTCAAGCGTTACAGGAAGGGGGAGGTAGTTGCCTGGAAGGGCCAGTTAGAGTCAAGACAGACAGAAACAAAATAGAAAATACCAGTCTGTGTATATAGGTAGAGGGTGTGCAGTAAATTAATGAAGATGCTTAACAGATTCAAGGATCAACAGGGATAATAAACTTTGTTTATATGGTTACCATTTGTTTGGGTTCAATGCAGGGGGCAGTGAAGGAAATAAATATGTCAGAATTGGAGACTGATGTATTCTTAATCGTGGAATCCTAATAGTATTTAATTGAGCCTGCCATCCCTTCCTCTCAAGCACGGAGGCAACTTTACAGCATATCCTTTGAAGTGGGCTGATTGGCTGTGCAGATTTATCTCCCCTGTCCCCAGACCAGAGAAATACATTTCAATTTCTACTATCCATTACTTTACATTACAATCTACCAATCTATTATTCCATTGAAATATGAGATAAAATAAAATGGCCCTTCTAGGGGATTGGTGAGAATACAGATGTAAGGGCTAAATGATGTTAACAAATGTAGGGAGATAAGAAACCAATATTCCTGTTAAGTCCCGGGGATTCCATTGTTCTGAGTATTGTAATAACTCAGCGAGTTCCCTTTCTAGTCTTTCTAATTTGTTCCTGAAGTTCCTTTGAGATCTTGGAAGGGTGGAAGGTGGGATCATGCTTGGCCACAGTTGTCATAGACTTGCCAACTCCCATCTGGCAAATTCCTGGACATTTCGGGGGGGAGTGCATTTTGGGAAAGGCCCATTTTGGGGTTGGGGGACAGGACCCTGAGATGGGAACAATGCCATAGAGTCCTCCCTCCAATGCAATGATTTTCTTCAGGGGAACTGATCTCTGTCAGCTGGGGGAACTTCAGGCCCCACCTTGAGGTTGACAACCCTGTGAGGCACCAGTTTTGCGCTGCTCTCTAAACAGAATTTGTGTGTGTGTGGGGATAATGTCTTCCAGTACAGAAAGGTGAAACGTAATAATCTAAATCAAGATGGGCAGCCGTGTATGTCTATAGCAGTAGAAAAGAGCAAGAATCCAACAGCACCTTAAAGACTAATGAAACTTGTGGCTGGGTTGCTCAGTTCTTCAGATACAGCTAGAATGTGAGTTCATCTGTCCTTATATGTGAAATGACTCCACTCCCCAAAATATAAGATGGACTCACATTCAGGGCCGGCTCACTCACTAGGTGAATTAGGCAATAACCTAGAGCGGGCTGGCCCTTATGGGTGCCAAACTCCCTGTACTCTGGGAGTTTCTTGATTGTGTTTTTAATTCTTCCTAAAATGCATTTATTTTTGAAAATTGGTGGGGGGGGGGCACCAGAAGGGATCCTCGCCTAGGGTGCAAAATAAGCTGAGGCTGGCCCTGCTCACATTCTAGCTGCATCTGTAGAAGTGAGCAGTGACTCATGAAATCTCCTACCCTGTAGAGTTGTCAGGCTTTACCTGGCTACCGGTGGGGGGATTCTCCTTGTCTGGGAGTTTTTGGCATGTGTGCAAAGTGCGCAAGCCGTGATGATGTCACCCGGAAGTGACGTCATCACACATGGCACATTGCTAAGGGACGCTCTAGCGTTTGAGGGGGAAAAAACTCTGTGGTAACCATAGAGATTTTCTTTTGAACGCTAGAGCGCCCCCCCCCCCAACGTGCTCTGCATGATGACATCACCTCCGGGTGAGGTCATTGTGCTGGTCATGTTGGCATAGATGGGGCTCTTCGGGGGTGGAGCTCTCCCCGCTGGCTGGCTGAGCGGTGGCAGATTGAGGCCCCCGAAAGCAGATAACCCCCCACCCCCGTTGGGGGGATGGCAACCCTACTACCCTGCCATAAATTTTGTTAGTCTTTAAGGCGGTGGCTCAAGTGGTTAAGACGCTGAACTGCAGGCTGTGGACGGTCGGTAGTTCAGAAGTTCAAGACCCGAGTGTGCCGCATGACGGAGTGAGCTCCCGTCTCTAGTTCCAGCTCCTGCCAACCTAGCAGTTCAAAAGCAAGAAATTGCAAGTAGATAAATAGGGACCACTTTGGTGGGAAGGTAACAGCGTTCCGTGCGCCTTGGTGTTTAGTCATGCCGGCCACATGACCACGGAAACGTCTTCGGACAGCGCTGGCTCTTCGGATTTGGAACGGAGATGAGCACCGCAACCCTAGAGTCGGACTCGACTGACTTTCGAGCAAGGGAACCTTTACCTTTTAAGGCGGTGTTGGACTCTTGCTCCTTTCTAATGTATGAATCTGACATTTTGTTGCTGGTCATTTTAATCTGCAAAAAAAAAAAAAACCCAAGAAGGATCTTTTTTTGGTTGGATGAGTAAAAAGGGGGAACTCCTGCCTGCACTGGAATTGACCACAGCCACATCCGGAGACCCAGATGCCTTCCCAGTGTGGGGCCGGGGCTGCCGGCTGGTGTCCAAGGCCCACCCAGCAGAAGGGAGGGGAAACTTCTTTAAAAATCGGTTGTGAAGGTGCAGAGAGCAAAGCCAGCAAAGATCACACCTCCAGTGCCCCACCCATCACAGCTCGAGGTGACTCCCCTCCAGCAGGCAGAGAGGGACGGAGCATGCTGATGTGGCCACACCCTTGGGTATCAGCCTCCCACAGACACAGGGCTAGAAGGAAGGAATGGCACAGGGACATCCGTCATGGTGAGGATTGTGGCATGAGCGGCAGGACCCTTGGAGTAAACAAACTTGGGACTGCCACAGATGTGGGTTCGCGTACCCACCTGTAGCCGTGTTTTGCGAAATGGAGGCACAGGGAAGGACCACGGCTGTTCCAACTGCATCGCCTCGCCCCATCACTCCACGGCTCGCTAGGCAGAGGCAGCCATTAACACAATGCCAGACTCTCCCCTCCTGCACTGGGGTTTGGGTGGGAGGAATGGCATCCTTTTGCCAGGCAAGAAAGGGATGGGCAACGCAGCAGGGAGAAACCCCAGGGCACAGTCCCAGGAGGGGTGGTTTCAGGCCTTGCTAAGGGGGATTCCAGCAAGAATACAAAGCTCACCTTTCAGTGTCCAGGAGGCCCAGAAAGGAGTCCCAGATGGGATCAATCGTGATGACTCATTCATGCTGATTGGATGGTCTGAATGCCAAGCATTTTGGCTGGTCCTCTCACCCCGCAAAAAGAAGAAAGAAACTGTGAGGTAACTGCGCTAGATAATATTTCAATAATAATCACAAAATTGTACAAAAATGTGTGCAGAAAAGTGTATAAAGACAATAGAAAATGATGTGTTGACGATGGTCTCCGGAATGCTCTATCGTTTCGATACTATTCTTCTTCCGAGAGTGAATGAAAACAGCGACTCTTGGTCTGTCTTTTCAACTAGTAGGTATCAAAAATCCATAATATTCACCGATGTATCATGACTTAATTGCAAGAATTTCTCTGACAGAATGTTCCTGGGGCAAGGCATTATACAAGCACCTTGCCCCAGGAACATTCTGTCAGAGAAATTATGGATTTTTGATACCTACTAGTTGAAAAGACAGACCAAGAGTCGCTGTTTTCATTCACTCTCGGAAGAAGAATAGTATCGAAACGATAGAGCATTCCGGAGACCATCGTCAACACATCATTTTCTATTGTCTTTATACACTTTTCTGCACACATTTTTGTACAATTTTGTGATTATTATTGAAATGTTATCTAGCGCAGTTACCTCACAGTTTCTTTCTTCTTTTTGCGGTCTGTTCAGTGACTGTGACCATCATTTTTGGTCCTCTCACCCCCCAACTCCCTGATATAGGGATGTAATATAGAAAAAATGATCTTAAACCTGGTCTACAAACTACAAGAATCCCTTTTGTTCTGATCCACCAGGGCAATTCTCGTGTGTCTCCTGAGCATATGAAGGTTTGTGATGTCAAGTGGTGTGCCTCCATTCTCTCTTATTTTCCATGTAACTGTCTGTGTCTCCCCCCCTCTTCACAGCCAAGTGACTAAAGGTATCTTTCCACAGTCAGAAGTGACCAATAGAAGTGGAAGGAGATGGAAGAGCAGAAGCCAGAAGGACCTGGAACTGACAAGACAGCAGGGAAAGGCCTCCATCCCAGCCAAGCTGGGAGTGGTGCTGAATTCTGGGAAAGACCAGTGCCAGATATCTGTGATCAGCTCACTGAAATCTCAGATGCACACTGCCGATGCTTCTGGCAATTCCGCTACCATGAGGCCGATGGGCCCCGAGAGGTTTGCAGCCAGAGGCACTCCAAAAAACAGATTCTGGACCTGGGATTCCTGGAGCAGTTCCTGACTACCCTGCCCCAGGAAATGCAGTGCTGGATCAGAGGATGCGGGCCAGAGACCAGTTCCCAGGCGGTGGCCCTGGCCGAAGGTTTCCTCCTGAGTCAGGCAGAAGAAAAGAGGCAGGCAGAACAGGTGAGGGATTCACTCCAGATATGTCCAATTCAAGCAATGATATCTGGCCTTATGATAAAGGTTCCCTGCCAGACATCTGCCCAAGTGTTAATCATCCAAATGGGAGATTTCACAGCCTCCTTCAGCAGCCTCTTGTATTAGAGAATTTCTTCTCCCTCCAGATAACTTGCCAGGTCTGCTGATGGAAGGGTGCAGTGTCTGGGAGTGGGGCAGGATCCATTCCTTAGTCTATCTTCCATTCCATCTCTTACTCCTCTCCCTCACTGCTGTTTCAGATGTGGGCACCATCCGTGAAGAAAGAAGCGACATTCCCTGAGGCAGAAGGTGCTTCCTTGGAGCAAGGGCAGAAGGCGCAGGCTCAGGAGCGTGCCCAAGATGCCCTCTCCTGCGGTAAGGACTCTTTGTGCCTGGATGTGTTTGGGAAATCCCTGTGAGTTTGATGGGTAGAGAGTTCAGGTCAAGAAAAGAATTAAATACTTCTTCACACAACACAGAGTTAATTTGTGGCACTCAGTGTCCACTAACTGTAATGCCTCTTGAAGCTGTATTAGACAAATCCATTGATGGCAATTCCTCCCATTAATTAAACTATTCATACTTCACCTTCCTTCCATAAGAGCAACTCAAGGTGTCTCAAAAGAGAAAAGGTAGACAAACCTGAGCAGAGCTATTCCACCTGGTGAATAAAGGGAGCCTCTCCACCTTCTGGGTCAGCATTGCTCTGAGAACCGGTTTCTTGGGGCCAATAATCATGGGGAAATTTGGCTTCTGTGCCCGTATTTATAGGGGCATCTGGCGGGCTCCTGTGGGAAACAGGGTGCTGGAGTAGGGATGGCAGGCTGTGGACTGGTACCCCCAGGAGCTTTGAGGAGGGCCTTGGGGTGCGTCTTGGGGCAGATATGATGTCATGTTGCATCTAGCTGAAAACCTGGTTGTGAAGTTAGCATGCCAAGAGACACTCTAAAACCTCATTGCTCTCAAGTCTCCAGATGTGCTGAACTCACATCTGGGCCAAATGTGAGGTGACGTGTCCTGTGACGTCATTTCCGCCCCCCTCCCTCCCTTCCCCCAGGCCAGACACAGGTCTCACAGAACTCTGAAATATATTGGCAGCTTTTTTAACCCTTGGGGCTTATAGGTACTTGGTGCTGTTAGCAGTCAGACCCCTCCTTATGCAGATGAGCAGTTTAGTGCTTAGAGATAAAAACCCCTCTTTAATGTCATCCCAAAATCATATGTGCAGGTCACTGCCTGGCCTAAAATATATAAAAAAAGAACAAAATGGGGACATAATGGGTCCCGGCCAGGTGAGAGCCTTGGAAAGAATTTTGATAAGTGAATCAGAACACCTGACCCACTAACAATCCTCTCTCCACCCCTGAGGGATGTATAATTAAAGGAGAACTGGGGCTCTCAAGTCAGATGGCCTCACCTTGGGGGCTCTCCTCTTCATCATAAAATGCTGGCCGTTTCGCAGCTGCCTCTGTGGACCTCGTTTTTCTAGACTGGTCACTATCACCTCCCTGAAATCACTTTCCCCCTGCTCCTCCATGACTTCCTCTTAGCTAGCTTGTGTGTTTTTCAGTGTATGTGTGTGTGATTTACCCTCTTAATCTTATTTCAAGAAAATCCTTTCAAATTAACCTTTTGGCTGGTTTATTTCAAGAGTTCTCTAAGGGAAAGATCTCCGTAAACATTGTTGGGAATCCCAGCTACCCACCTCTCGTTGTGTCTCTGTTCAAGCTAATTTCCCCCACTAATTACGAGACCGCCAATTTAGTAACAGTGCTTCTCTTCTGCCTCTCCCACGATTTCCTGAAAGTGTATAACAGATTGTTGAGTATACACAGGGCAAGGTTTCACAATCCTGGAAAGGGTGTGTATGAAGCAGGGGACAAACATGCAAATACTTTTCCTCCCTCCTTTGTCTCAGTAACAGGCAGTGAAGAGATGCTATTGAGCCGTCGTCTTTTCAGAGATATGGAAACAGCTGGTGCACCTCCAGTCCAGGTAGGAGAGATGAGCAGGGCATAGCCTGGGTCCCTCCTCCTTTCTCAAGGGGGCTTTTCCTTCTGCAGTTTCTTCAAGGCATCTGGGCGAGACATTCTCTTGAGTGCTGTTCCCTTTACCCATACCATGCCTTACATCCTGTACCTTCCAAGACTACTCCCTTCCAGTGTGCAATCTTTGCACGGCGTGATCTCTGACACGGGAATCTGCTTTTTCTTTTAGTATTCCTTTTCCTTTGACGAGGTGTCCATCTATTTCACTGAGGAGGAATGGGCCCTGCTGGATCCGGGACAAAGAGCTCTTTACAGGGAAGTCATGCTGGAGAACTATGGGAATGTGGCCTTTCTGGGTAAGGAACTTTCATAGGTGCCAAAGGTGCGAATTGCTGCCATAGGGATGAGGCATGAATCAAAATGTTGAATAGCAATACGCCATTTTGAGATCTATCCCGATACTTGGGGAGTCGCTGTGGCTCACTGGCACAGCATCCGCTTGGCATGCAGAAGGTCCCAGGTTCAATCCACAGCATCTCCAGTTAAAAGGATTGGGCAGGAGGTGATGTGAAAGACCAGGCCACTTAATAATCACCTTAATCCTTGGGGGAACTAGGGTGCTTTGTCTCACAGATCCATCCCCCTTATACTGGTTTAGGGTTGCCAGGTCGCGGCGGGGGATCACATGTCTTTGCAGAATCCCTGCCGCGGGGATGGCGAGACGTGTTGCACCCGCCGTCGCCAGGACATGACGCTACGCGTCGCTCTGGCAACGGGGCTCTGAACAGCCCCATTGCCAGAGCGACGCGTAGCGTTATGTCCTGGCGACGGCGGCGCAATGTGTCTCGCCGTCCCCGCGGCAGGGATTCTGCAAAGACATGCTACCCCCCACCGTGATTTGGCGAGATTTGGGAGCCCTATACTGGTTGGGATTGTAGGCTCTGATCTGTTCTTCCAGAAGACTTTTTACTTTTGAATTTCTTTCCCTCAGAATAAAACTGAAATGTTTCGCCAGGCCTATGACTGAAGCTACGACAGTTCGACCTGGACTGGCCTCCCTCTGCCTTCCTTTGGCCACCTATTTTGTCTCTAACATCCATTTACTACCTGCAAACACACATGAAGCAAAGTCATCCCTGAGACAACAGGCATCAACTTGTGCTATAGATGCCAGTGTTCCCTCTAAGCTGAGTTAGTGTGAGCTAGCTCACAGTTTTTTAGCCTCCAGCTCACACATTTTTGTCTGAGCTCAGGAAGGATGGCTCCAAGTTCCGAGCAAACTAATTTATGCACTAGCCAAATCACTGACTCACCACTTTAATGCCAGTAGCTCACAGAATTTCTGCTCACAAGACTCCACAGCTTAGAGGGAGCATACTATTTGATATTAATTGTATATTAGAAATTGCTTTAGAAACTAAGTTAATAATGATTGTTTTAACATGGTTGTTCCAGGGCTCTTTTTGTAGAAAAAGCCCAGCAGGGACTCATTAGCAGGAACTCATTAGCATATTGGGCCACACCCCTGACAGCACAGCTCATTAGTACATTAGGCTGCACCCCCATGTTACCAGAAGTGTGGTTATCCAGCCACACCCACCTTTTGGTTGTTATAAGTTTACCTTGCTTGTTGTCAAAATCCAGGGCTTTTTTGTAGCAGGAACTCCTTTGCATGTTAGGCCACCTAATGTAGCCAATCCTAATGAGTTTCTGCTGTTGGGTGTGGCCTATTATGCTAATGAGTTCCTGCTGGGTGTGGCCAACTTGGGAGAAAGCCGGAACTCCGTTCCTGTGCGTTCCTGCCCAAAAATAGCCCTGGTTGTTACCCATTTCAGTGCAAGGGAGAGCGGGCTAAAAATCCAAATGAATAAATAGATAAATAAGAATGATCTCTTTTTCTTTCTTTCTCTCTGCAAAAGAAGCCAGTAGTATAAGAGAGGCTTTGGTGGAGACAGACAATGGCCTCGCATCCATGGAAAGGCTGGAGAGTTTCTCCAGAGGATCCCAAGAACATATCTCCTTCCCAGAGGAGCTGGCTGAGAGTGAGTATCCTTCACGGTTGTGTCAAGGGAACAGGCAAGGAATAGACCATGGGGGATTTCTGATTCAATTCTGACCAACATTTGGTTTGGTACAATCATACAGCCCTCTGGGTAAGGATAGAGGGAGGCCTTCTGGGGTCCCGAAATCTGGAGGCTCAGAAACTCCTTCTGGGCAAGAGCTCAGCTGTGGCTCTCGAGGGAGTTGGTATCCTTATATACCAGATATTCTGGGGAAAGGTGGAGGGGTGCTTAAGATCAGACAAGCTGGAGAAGGCTAAAGGGCCGTCAGTCCTTTCCTAATGCAGTCACATAGAAGCCTTTGGACCTTACCAGCCCTCCCAGGTGCTAATAGGATATCTCTCTTTATCCCAGCAGAGGATGATCAGAGGAGTGAGGTGGGTGAGGAACTTCATCAGAAAATGTCAGATGGAGTTAAAAATGAAGACTTGAAAGAAAAGGTCAGGAATTGTGGCAGTCCTAAGAGGAAGTTTAGTGTGCATTTTCCAAAGTGCAGTATAATGAAGGCAAGTCAATCCATTCAGTGTGAAAAGTCCTTCAGAAATAGATCCCAGATCCTTGTGCACCAAAGAATACACAGAGGCGAGAAACCTTTTGAATGCTCAGATTGCAGAAAGAGATTCGACGAGAGGGGGAATCTTCATCAACATCAGACAACCCACACATGGGAGAAATCTTTGGAATGCTCAGAGTGTGGAAAGAGATTTAGTTGGAACCCCAGTCATCTACTGCACCAAAAAACCCACACAGGGGAGAAACCTTTTGAATGCTTAGTGTGTGGAAAGAGATTCAGTCGGAGTGACACTCTTCAGCGGCATCAGAGAACCCACACAGGGGAGAAACCTTTGGAATGCTCAGAGTGTGGAAAGAGATTTATTGAGAACAGCCATCTTCAACAGCATCAGAGAACTCACACAGGGGAGAAACCTTTGGAATGCTCAGAGTGTGGAAAGAGATTCTTTTGGAGTAATGATCTTCAAAAACATCTAAGAATCCACACAGCAGAGAAACCCTTTGAATGCTCAGTGTGCAGAAAGAGATTCAGTCAGAATGGCACTCTTCAACTGCATCTGAGAACCCACACAGGGGAGAAACCTTTTGAATGCTCAGAGTGTGGAAAGAGATTCAGTCGGAGTGGCCATCTTCAACTGCACCGAAGTACCCACACAGGCGAGAAACCTTTTGAATGCTTAGAGTGTGGAAAGAAATTCAGGTTGAATGACCATCTTCAAACGCATCTGAGAACCCACACAGGGGAGAAACCTTTTGAATGCTCAGAGTGTGGAAAGAGATTCAGTCGGAGTGGCCATCTTCAACTGCACCGAAGTACCCACACAGGCGAGAAACCTTTTGAATGCTTAGAGTGTGGAAAGAAATTCAGGTTGAATGACCATCTTCAAACGCATCTGAGAACCCACACAGGGGAGAAACCTTTTGAATGCTCAGTATGTGGAAAGAGATTCAGTCAGAGTGGTCATCTTCAACTGCACCAAGGAACCCACACAGGGGAGAAACCTTTTGGATGCTTGGAGTGTGGAAAGAGATTTAGTGGGAACAGCAATCTTCTACGGCATCAGAGAACTCACACGGGGGTGAAACCTTTTGAATGCCCAGAGTGTGGAAAGAGATTCAGTCGGATTGGCCATCTTCAACTGCACCATAGTACCCACACAGGGGAGAAACCTTTTGAATGCTTAGAGTGTGGAAAGAGATTCAGGTTGAATGGCCATCTTCAAAAGCATCTGAGAACCCACACAGGGGAGAAACTCTTTGAATTCTCAGAGTGTGGAAAGAGTTTCAGTCGGAGTGATACTCTTCAACAGCATCAGCTAATCCACACAGGGGAGAAACCTCTTGAATTCTGAGAGTGTGGAAGTGGATTCACTCAGAGTGAAACTTTTCAACTGCACCAAAGAACCTACACAGGGGAGAAACCTTTTGAATTCTCAGACTGTAAAAAGAGATTCAAGTTGAGTTGCCATCTTCAATAGAACCTAAGAACTCACATGGAAAAAACATTTTGAGTGCTCAGAGTGTGGAAAGATATTGAGGAACAGTAGCAGTCTTCAGCGGTGTTAGAGATCTCACACAGAGGAAAAACCTTTTGAATGCTCGGTGGAGTTTCACTCAGCATGGAAATCTTCTACATCATGTAATAAATCATATGAGGAGAAACCTTGTAACTCCTTAGCCCATGAAAAGAACCTTTTTTTTCTTATTTCACACCTAAAAAACAACAACAGACCATATAAAGTATTGACACTACATAAACTCTTGTAGAAAGCTTGAATCTACACAGAAATCTTACCCTAAACAGGAAGATATGTTAAAAACGCTTGGACTGTGGATAGAGCTTTAGCCGTATTTGAAGCCCTCAAATAGATCTCACAGGAAAGAAGGCGAGGATGGGCTCTGTTGGTGGAAGGTGATTTAAGATCAGCTCATATCTCCTTTAGCCTGGAGGTGTCCACCCTAGGGAGGAACCTCATAAATGCTCAGTGTTTGGCAAGAGCTTGAGCCACAGATTCAATTTTCATGTTCTTCAGAGAATCCATAGGAGGGTGAAACATTACTATAGGTGGCTCTGGTGAGGGTCTTCTTCCAACACCCAGGTGATGGAGGTTCAGACCAGCTCAAAAAATAGTTACGCAAAGGAGGGCCTTTTTAGTGGTTGCCCTCCTCTGTGAAACTCGCTACTCCAGGCTATCTGCCAATCTAACCCTTTTTGACATATACAAAACTAGCAAAACACTTTCCTTCCCCAAATCCTGTGAGGAAAAAGACAAGTTGAGGGTAACGGATATCTACAGCCTTTCTGCTCCTGGCATAAATATAGTGTGACCAGCCGGCATCCTTAATTCACAAACATCTTTATCTGGCAAGCAGCTCTAGGGAGGCATTACACAATCCCTCCCCAGTCCAGGCTCCTGTGAGCTTTTGGGGGGGTCGCCACCTTGAAGCCCAAAGAGTTGTGGCCATAGGATTTTTTTTTGGGTTGAAAGGAAAAGCTTGTGTCCTTCAATCCAACAACTCAGTAATTTCTAAGGTGTCAGATCCCCCCAATATCATCCAGTATTGTGGAAACTGACTGGTCTTTCCCAGAGAGAATCAGAAAGTAGAAGTTTCCCTCTCTTGTTCTGACACCCCCCCACTCCATGACCCCCACCTTCCCCAGGCTCCATCCCCCAAATCTCCAGGAATTTCCCAACATGGAGTTGGTAACCCTAGCAAGTGTGTGTGTGGGTGCACATACACACACTTTTCCTTTGCAGCTACAGCCTGCCTGGCACAGAAGGGAAGGGTGCCTTTTTTGTTTCACGCAGATGGGAAGAGAAGCTGAGGAGGCTCCCCTCTAGGGTTATGCAAAAAAAAAAAAAAAAGAGCCGGGTTCGGGTAAATCAGACCTGGGAAAAAAAACAGTAAATGCTGAATTTCCTCAGTAAAATACCAGTAAGACATTCGGATTGGGGCTATATTCGGTATTCCCGAATATATTTGGTCTGATTTACACCACCCGAGGGAAAGGAGGCATGTTAGAATACCTTCTTTCCCTCTGGTAGACCCTACAGATTTCCCTGTCAATTTCACTCCCCCCCCCCAGTCAGCCAGGAGTGAAATTGACAAGGGGAAGCCTGGCTCTCTGCCTTCCCTTCTGTAGCTGACAGATTGTAGCTGGGAAAGGGAAGGCAGGGAACCTAGGCATGTTTACAATGCCTTTCTTTCCCTTCCTGAGATCAGAGAGGGAAAGAAAGGCATTTAAACATACCCCCTGCCCACTTCCCCGGCCTTCTCCACAATAGCGGAGAGGCCCAGGGAAGGAAGGGGGCATGTTTGCCTAGCTGCCCTCGGTCTCCCCAGCCAGCCCACCAAGGTGTGCAGGCTGGGGAGACCGAGGGCAGCCACGGCATTTTCGGGTTCAACTATACTGGTAGCTGAATACAGAACTGTGATCTGTATTCGGCTTATGTGATACCTCAAAAATACAAGGTATCACATAAGCCGAATACAGATCACAGTTCTGTATTCAGCTACCAGTATAGTTGAACCCGAAAATGCCGTAATTATCTGGCTTTTTTCGGGTATTTTTTCAGGTATTTTTCAGTTCGGCTGTAGCCGAATGCACACCCCTACTCCCCTCTACAGATACAGAAACTGACCCCCCCCTTCTTGCACCCAGGTGAAAGAGAAGGCAAATTTGTTGACAACATTTTTACAGTGATTTTTAAAATGCTCTGATGCCCCAATCCACTGTCGGCTTGTAGTACAGAACTGCCCCACCCACCCAAGTGTTTTCAAAGGCCAAAACAGCACACACTGTAAAATGGTCACGAGTTCACTTGTGAAAGGCAGAATACAGAGGCTGCTGCAGCCACCCACCCCTTCTGCTTCCAGCCCCCTTGGAACACTCCCCACCCAGGTTAAAATAGAGCCCCCCCCAAGCTTCTACCTTAATGTGCTACAGTGCGAACCCATGACTGGCACCACTCAGCAAGCAAAGGTGCAAAAAGGACTGGTCAGAGCATAGCAGGAGCAATGACTTTGTGTTGGGAGTAAAGTACAAAGGGAAAGCCTGGGAGGGAGAAGGGAAGGAGACTCTGCCCCTCACTGGCAAAGCCTGGGAAGGAGGTGAGAGGAGGGAAGGAGACTCTCTCCCTCACTGGCAAAGCCTGGGAAGGAGGCGAGAGGAGGGAAGGAGACTCTCTCCCTCACTGGCAAAGCCTGGGAAGGAGGTGAGAGGAGGGAAGGAGACTTTCTCCCTCACTGGCAAAGCCTGGGAAAGAGGTGAGAGGAGGGAAGGAGACTCTCTCCCTTATTGGCAAAGCCTGGGAGGGAGGAGGGAAGGAGATGCCCTCTCTCATTGGCAGAAGACTTGCAACAGATTTCACATCAACCCCTAGTGCTGATTGGAGGGGCATGACGAATTATTGGTGGGGCCCTGCCCCTTTGTGCACCACCATGACTATGGGCCTCCCCCCCCCTTTCTCGGCCTCTTTAGCAAACTCTTTTAAGTCTTTCGGTGCTGCAGAGAAATGAAAAAAAGCTTCTTGTCCTCTCCGTGAGGAGCATCGCCCAGACCCCTACATGCAGAGTGACCTTCAGCCAGGCTACCACCTGTGATGTCCTATGCAGTTCAGTGGGGTTGCTCTGGAGTATCTCTGCACACGGTTGCGCTCCCAGAGTATCCCATGCTGCTCAGCCATCTCGGAAAAAGGGACAGTTGAGCAGGACGAAAAAGAAGATTAAGGCAAACTGAAGCAAGCGCATGCCAAGCCATCCGAAGCAGGTCTAATCCAAACCTTCCTCAGGCCTCTTCAATGGGGATACTCCCAGAAAACTGGTTTTAGGACTGCATTGAAAAAGAGGCATGTTAGAATACCTTCTTCACTGCCACAGGAAGTGGTGGCGGCTACAAGCATGGATGGCTTCAAGAGGGAATTAGATAAGCATATGGAGCAGAGGTCCATCAGTGGCTCTTAGCCACAAGGTATAGATAGGGGCTCTGGGGCAAGGGATGCTCTGTATTCTTGGTGCTTGGGGGGGGTCAACAGTGGGAGGGCTTCTAATGTCCTGGCCCCACTGGTGGACCTCTGATGGCACCTGGTATTTCTGGCCACCCTTGTGACACAGAGTGTTGGACTGGATGGGCCTTTGGCCTGATCCAACATTGGCATCTCTTATGTTCTTATGTGTGCCTGTAACAATTTCTCTGTTTCTCAGAACATGCCAGTGAGACCACTCCCTATCACTTCCTGGAGACTGTTGTGATTCTGCCCTATAGGACAGGGTCGCCATCTCCATCTTGGGAAATCCCTTTCTTGTAGAAGAGAAGAAGAAAAGAGATTGGATTTATACCCTGCCATCCACTCGGAGTCTCATAGCAGCTTACGAACTCCTTTCCCTTCCCACAACAGACACCCTGTGAGGTAGGTGGGGCTAAGAGAGCTCTGACAGAAACTGCTCTTTTTCGAGAGCAGCTCTGACAGAACTATGGCTTGCCCAAGGTCATCCAGTAGCTGCGAGAGGAGGAGTGGGGAAATCAAACCCGGTTCTCCCAGATTAGAGTCCGCACACTTAACCACTACACCAAATTGGCTCTCAGAGGCCTTTGGGGATACTCAAATGACTATTTCCAGATTGGGAGGGGTTTAAGGCAGGGCACCCCTTACTTCATTCTTTCTACTTGCAAACAGCTTTAGGCAGGGCTTCTTTTGTGGTGGGATTCACGGGTTCTGGGTACTGGAACCATTGGGGGGGCATTGGTTTTAGGGGCTCCTCTTATGCATGGACTCGACTGTACGACTGAACAACAACAACAACTTATGCATGGGGCACAGGTTTGCTTGCAGGAGACACCGGACGTAGAGGGTCAGAATCAAACGGAACCCGCTTCTGTGGGCTTAGCAGTATGGGAAAGTGGCGAGAATCTGCCTGCTTACTGGAGTCCTTGTGGATCCCTTCTCAGTAGTGGAGTGCCACCGACTCTCGATCTATAGACAGCTTGTGAGTCTTCTTTCTATGGGAATCTGAGTCTCTTGGCACTCTGTTGACTTGCTGTTCAAAAACTGGGGGAAAAGGGGGGGTGGAGAAGGGAAAAACTCAACCCAAGATAACACTGCGAACCAGAAGGGTT